TAAAAGAAAGTTTTAAACTTTTACTTGCTAAAAAAAGTTGAGAAAACTTGGCGATAAATCACGAAACATTTTGGCAACAATAACGGCTTTAAATTTTAGCGGGCCGTACAGTAGAATACGGCCCACTAAATTGATCAATCACAGCGTGCGTACTAACTGAGAGATATAGTAAAACAGAAAATTACACCCGTCGCTCTCCAGAATTTTGTGGCAACGCGCTAAAATTAGACCTGAGTGAATAAGCCAATCAAATGGGACCAAGTCCGTTGGGATTTGTGATTGGCAGGCTGAACACCTTAGCCTCGTTTCCAGGTTTGACTAACTAAAACGAGGCAGCACATGTTTACGAGCTATCCTTGCTGTAGCGGTTGGTGGCGGTGGTAGCATTTGTGTGTTGTTGTGTGGGAAACTTTAGGCTTAAGTTTTCTTTTATGAACCTTTCTTTATGAAGCTGGGAGAGAGCAAAAAACAGGTAAGAGGTTGATCTGATTCAACGATACAGGGACTTGACATGTTCAATTTTGCGCTCGAGTAAACCAGCGAGAAACCTACAAACAGCTGGCGTCGTTCGTGTATCTTCAGCTGTGTATTTCTGTTCGCCTAACATTCGTTGTATTTTTTAAATGGCTTTTGTCAATTTCGGTCAGGTAGGGCGATAAATTATTGAATTTAAATGCCTATCAAAGCGTGATGTTCTTTTTCAGAAACTGGAAGGATTAGAAAGCATTCAACGGAGCTTTTCAGCTGTCTGCGCGCGTCACCCAGCTGAGCGAGTTGAAGTATGCGGGGAGCAATTGCAGAATACCCGGACACTTCATGGAGCTAACGAATGTCTGTGTTGTAAGTTGACCGGTAACCAGTTGATCAGAGATTATCTTTAGAGTACTATACAACCCTGTGGTGAAACTGCTCATTTTGGACGCACCTACGCAGCCATTGTTGCATGCGGCCAAATTATAGACCTTCTCACGGTTTTCGACGCCATCTTGACGAGTGGGCAAAGCGGTCAGAAGTTACAGTGTTTGTATGGGAATCCGATGGTAAATAACTTTTCATATCAAACTTACGCTTAACATCTGCCTCTACAGATTTTCGTGACTTGTCACGCAGTCTGGGGTCAGTCAAAAACACTCTAATTTTCGAACATTTTCTTCTTTTTCGTGTATTCCATTTGAATTGCTATCTTTCTTACCTTCAGTTTATAAAACTAACATATATAAGCTTTCTATACCACTGTATTTGAAGGCAATAATAAGAATATTTCGCACGGGTTTTTTAGAGTTTTGGTTAGCAATTCAGACATGTCGAAGAGAGGTTCATGCCACATGCAAGCACTGGCCATAGAGTCTGGGGCTAGAACTCTAAGGCGCATGCACAAAACTGGTCATTACCGCGAAATATGAAAAGAGGAATAAATTTGGTGCAATTTGATGTATAATACATGAGGTTTGAATATTGTTTGGGTTCGGGAAACGGGACTTATGCGCTGGTGATTTTGTCCTCGCTGGCTCTTTTCGCGGTGGTGGTAGATGCACAAAACGATTTTGGCAAGGAAATGAGTGGTCCAAAAGGGGATGAATTGCCTTGGTTTACTTACGAAATAAACAAGTAAGTAAAATTGCGTTAATTCAAACCCGTCTCATTTTGTTAATGTTTTGGTTTTTCATCAAATGATTTTTTTTTTAATTTTTTAATCAGCTGTCTCGTATATTCCCTGTCGAAGAATCCTGTTGAGGGACCCAACGACAAAAGTGCCGATTCTGTAATTGCAGGAATAGTGGAAAAAATCTTGAGGGAATCTGGGATTCTGGGAGTTGTCATAAATTGCAGAATTATCAACATCTTCAGGAAAAAGATTTCTCTCCTCCATTCAGCATTCAAGGAATTTTCACGAAGTGGGGGGAAAGTATAAGTAAGCTTATTGACTTGTGCAAGGCAAAAAACTACTCTTTCAAAATTTTCTATCATGAGCTTCAAAACAATTCATTGATTGAGGAAAACCAACAGCTCCGTGGGCAGAAAAAGAAAGCTGAACTGGATTTAGCCGCAGAGCAGCCAAAGAGACTAAAAATTGAGCGGAAGCTTGAAGATGTCATTAGGGATTCGGAAAACAGAAAAAAAAACAGTACAAAGAAAAATTCAGGAGATTAGTGAAAAAAGCAGCAAGGATGTAAAAAAAGGGACAAGGAGGTCCAAACAAAAGTAAAAATTCACTGATTACACCAAACAGCACCAGGCAAGGATAAGGCGAGGATTTAAAGAAGACTGCCACTCGGCACTGTCATTTTTAGGCCTGTATGATTTTATTGCCACCAAGGTTGAAGTATTTAATAATGACACTCGGCATTATGAAACTGTTTCATTGGTAGAAGAGGGAAAATTGAAACTACTGGAAACTGAGCCAAAAGAACTGAATGACAGTGATATTGTTGACATCAATATGTGGGTTTACTTAAACGACAAATTTAGTATATCTAATGAAGCCTGGCATGAGTTGGCCATGAAGTGTAAAGACATGCCCACAAAATATAAAATATGCAAACACCTAGATAAGCTAAATGCCGATTGGAATCTGAAAAGTACACCAGGGGAGGCAGAGGGAATACAGATTTCTTTCAAGGAGAGTCTTGAGGAACAGATAAAAAGGCTGCAAAAAAATGGAGTATTGGTCAAGGCTACTACTATTAAAGTAAAGATCAGTGGTGATGGTGCTAACATTGGGAAAGACTTAAACTTGAAAATGTCACATATACAATTTTGAATGAAAAGGATGCAGCAATGAACGAAAAAGGGAACTATGTTTTAGCAATAACCAAGACAACAGAGAACTATGACAATCTTGAAGAAAGCCTTGCTGATCTAAATAATGAAATGTCAAATTTAAAAGAAATAACTGTAAATAATCATAAGTATAGCATCAAGTATTTTTTAGGAGGAGACTGGAAGTTTCTAGCCTGTGTCTGTGGTCTAGGAGCTGCAAATCAAAATTTTGCCTTTATTTGGTGTAAGTGCCCAAAACATGAAAGGTTTGACATCAGCAAAAAGTGGTCTTTAACTGATAAATCTCTTGGGGCAAGAGAATCATAAGAAATAGGTAAGCAAGCAAAATCTAAACAATGTAATTGTAAAACCAATCTATTATTTAACTTTATTCCCATTGACCATGTAATGATTGATACACTACATTTGTTTTTGAGAATATCTGATAATTTAATTCAACTTCTTATCAGGGAACTTTGCGGAAAAGATGCCATTGACAAGGTATCTACTTTTTCAAATGGGTTTTGTCAAAACAGGTATAGACACATGGCTGGGTATGAAAAGTTTCTAAAAGACCTTGGAATTAGTTTTGAATGGAAAATCAATAAGGACACCAAGAAGTTGGAGTACAGAGATCTTACAGGACCTGAAAAACTCTTGGTTTTTCAGCACATAAATGTCCATTCAATATTATCAGAATATCATACACAGATAAGCTGCAAGCCCTTTGCAGTAGTTTCATGGATATTATAGGTGATCTTAAACTAGACTACACAACAGATTATGCTGCATGTATCTCTAGCTTTGAAGACAAGATAAAAAAAATGGTTTCAAAAATTCCTTGACCTATACCGAGCAAAAGATGTGACACCTTATATGCATGCTTAGTATGCTCATGTGCCTGAATTTTTAAAGCTTTACCAAAATTTAGCATATTACACCCAGAAAGGTATGGAGAAGTACAATGACACTGTATTGAAGGACTACTTTAGATCATCAAACCATAGAGGGGTTTCTGCACTAAGGCAACTTTTCTTGAAAAAACACAGAATACAGCTTTTGTAGGTGGCTGGTGTGGAAAGGGTGAAGGAAAGCTACAATTGTGGACACTGTTCAACTTCTGGCCATACCATCAAAACATGTACTGCAAAATGCAGGAAATGTGATGCTTCTACTTTCTGTGCACGTCTTGTTAAAATAGATGGTAAATGGAAGCCAAGATGTGAATTAATCAATCAGTAATCATGTAATATATCAATGTATACATGTTTACATTGTATGTAAATAATTCACAGGCAAGTAAAATAATCAACTATTCATCAATACAGAAAAATTAATGTACATGTGTTAAATCAAATATATTAGTGGTGGACCATATTTTTGTATCCACATCTGTTGCCATCTCCACGGACAAATGTAAAAATGACTTGATGCCCGTCTTCGATTTCAGATCTCACATATTTATGGCCAATTAATTTAAATTTCACTATGGGGTTTCTTTTTGTCAGCCAAAATCTCAAAGTACCTGGTACAACATAGGTAAAATCACTGTTTTCATTCATGATCCGCTCATTCCACTTTGTGGCGATATAAAAATCCAGAGTTTCATCAGAAAGAACTTCATATATGAGTTTATTTCTCTGATATTGTTTGGACGTAATCCTTCCAAGACTTGTATTGAAAACGTCATCATCAACTTGAATTTCAATACGTGCTTCGGGATCCTCTCTGCACCCTGCGTACAACTTTCGCTTGATCTCCCTGTACACACCTTGACAAAAAGCTTGCAGCGATCGCTAAGGGAATCATTGGTTGGTTGTGACATCGGTTCTAATTGTATTACTGGCCAGGGCTGTCATTAAGTTTTGAAGCAGCCGTTGCATGTAAGTTATCACCCATAGCAGTGAAATACGTGGCCCATGGCCACGTTCTGAAGGCCCGAAAGGGCCTGAGCATCTAGGGGGGTCTGAGGGCATGCCCCCCCCC